ATTATTATTATGCAATCATTGTGAAAAATAGCTTTGCTGAAATGGATGATTTATCATTGATATGTAACCAGATATACAAATCTTATGACGTAAAATTCATGCCTCTCTCTCTTCCTCTGTGTTTAGTCGAGCTGGACTGTCGAAACAGGAGTAGAGGAGTCACAAGGAGATCAGGATCAGGCCTTTCTGGATTATTTTAGCCGCCCTCATTTCACAAAGAGGCAGGAATTCTTCAAGTTTCACCCACAACAGAATTCCACAAACCCTGTCGTCCAGAGGCTCTTCACTAGAACGGATGACAAGGCATGGAAATGGCTGACATACTGTGGTCAACACCATGCCTTATTTTGTTTTGTTTGCCTTGCTTTTAGCAAGCCAAATGATCCAAGTACTTTCATTAGAGGCATGGTAGATTGGAGGCATGTGCACCAAAGAATAGAGGAGCATGAGAGAAGTATGGCACGTAGACAGTGGACTGAGGCATATTATTTTGAACTGCTCCAAAGCAAGCATTGGTCACCTCCTTGAAGGAAATCAGCAGACAGGACACCGAGAGCAGGTTAAGAAGAGACGTCAGGTGTTGGAACGTGTAGTGAAGGTTGTGAAAGTCGTCGGGAAGAGAGGCTTACGCTACAGGCAGGAGCAGAGTGAAGCTGCATACACCTTGGACAATGCCAGTCTTGACCATGGCAATTTCTTAGAACTGATAATATTGTTGGGGAAATATGATGTATGCCTAAAAGAGCACCTCAGCAGTATAATTGAAAGAAGCAAGCAGATCCATGATTCAGGGACACAAGGCAGAGGCTTTCTGATCACCCTCCTGCCTAAAACAACTGTAAATGCAGTAATCGATGCAATCAAACAGTTAATTGAAGAGAGCATCTCTACTGACCTCAAAAAGGCAGGGATGTTTTCTGTGCAGCTTGACACTACTCAGGATGTTACAGGGAAAGATCAGTGTTCTGTGATTTTGAGGTATGTCACTGATGCAGTCCATGAAAGGCTGGTTGCAGTCATACAATGCAACGCAACTACAGGGCAGTCTTTTGTCACTCTTTTAACAGAAGTACTGGAACATCTCAAGTTGGATATAGGCCTGTGCATTAGTAACTCCACAGATGGAGCCTCTAACATGCAGGGTCAGTACAGAGGTTTCTCTGCATTGATGGCAACCCAAAACCCTACCCATCAGCACGTGTGATGCTATTCACATGTCCTTAACCTTGTGTTGATCGATACCACTCATTCTGTCATTGAAAATGATCACTATTTGACCTGCTGAATGACATCGCTGTATTCATCAGGGATTCATATACTGTATAAGAGTGAGTGTGTGGGAGTCCGAGAGCCAGGACAAAAAACACAAACGCATTTCACCAATTGAAGAGACAAGATGGTGGGCCAAACATGATTCCCTGATGAAAGTTTTTGGAAACTCTGGTAATCCTCATGGTGGCCTTTTTGTTGAAGTGGTGTCCACACTCTCTGCTATAATGAGCCTGAAGACACTTGCAACAAATGCAAGAAACAAAGCCAGAGGATATCGAGACAGTTTACTCCGATATGAAACTGTTCTAACAGCTCAGTTATTCCTCCGGATATTTGAAATCACCTCACCACTATCAAAATATCTGCAGACTGAAGAAATGGATCTCCTCTCAGCACATAGAATGGTCACAACAACACAAGATCCGCTGAACGAGATAGTAAGAGATTTCCCTGCCGCCAAAGATGCAGCTGACTGTTTTGTGCATTGGGCAAATGAAAAGCTAGAGGAGCAAGGTGAACTTGATTTGGAAGTGGAGGCTGCACTGCCTCAGAAAAGGGTGAAGAGGAAGAAAGTCTTGGCAGGAGAGACATCCCAGGATGAAAGTGTGATGGGTATTTTCCTAAATACAAACAAAAACAGGGGAGCAAATGAGACAATCAAACCATGGCTTAGAATCAAAGTGAGGAGAACGCTGGACAGGAAGTCTCTCGTACACCCAAATCCACCATTCTGAG